CACGGTAATGCATCATCGCATACTGCTTGGATTCTTCCTGAGTTTTTTGCCAAATTTTCAAACAATAACAATATCGTTGCCAAACGAAGCGAATACGGAGCGCCTAATTTAACTTTGTGTGATTTCTGGCTACTCAGCAAACTCCAACAACCGCCCAGAGGAAACTGGGGAAACCGTGCCGGAAATTAAATTTAAGAACTGTTTCAAGGTTGAGAAAAACGTTGACATAAGAGTTTTGGGGCTAAGAGGATTACTTTGAGGGGGATGATTGTGAAAAATAAACCATAACAGTGAAACTTGGACATTGTCTTCTGAGGATTTTTTTTTTTTTTKTTTTTAATAAAATTGAAAAAAGTAAATTAATTACAATTACAATTTATATATATCTAGCACTAGCGGTTAAGCCATCAGCTTTTTTCTGAGGATTATAATTCGTTCTTGTGCTGAAAATGGTTAAGATCGAATAATTGGTTGTCATAACGCCATATATATAAAGTCTTGCGGTATTTTCGCTAGTTGGCGCTGAGAGCGCGTAGTTCTAGTTTTATTCGTCGCATCGGGTCATGCTATACCTTTTTGGAAAGCTCATTTTACGCGCTAACGCGTGCTTGATTGATTGTCATTTCTTTTAAGTCGTTCGTGAGTTATAGCGTCGCAAACATGGAGCAAAATAAAGAGAAAATACGGCATATTTTACATTACTACTACGATAAAGGCAARAATGCATCTCAAACCGTCAATAAAATTTGTGCAGTTTATGGACCCGATACAGTTTCCATTTCCACCGCACAACGATGGTTTCAAAGTTTTCGTTCTGGTGTAGAGGTGGTCGAAGATGAGCCACGCTCCTGAAAGCCTGTCGTCGAAAATTGCGATAAAATCGCTGAATTGGTCGAAAGAGACCGGCATAGTAGCAGCCATAGCACCGGTCAAGAGCTGGGCATGAGTCATCAAAACAAATTTTATGAACTATTGAAAATTCAATAAAAATACCGCAAGACTTTTTGGACAACCTATTAGTATGTCATATGGTTTTTCAGACATTCACATGTGAATTATCTTGACGATGATGATCAAGGAGCATCTTTCTCTGATAACAGTATGCTTTCATGGCAAAAGTGCGTAAAATCAGGTTAATACTATCTCCAGACCTCATATACCTACTAAATAAATATTTTCGCCCTTCCGGTTGACTTTATAACGCACTTATCGGTTAATATAATATGTTTGAATCTAAAATAAATTCAGAGAGAAACTCCCTCTAGTAACACTGCATTCCTGTGCCTTAAATGGATCAAATCGCGTAAGAACAGAAACATTATTATTCTAATCGAAATATTAAACTTCTTGGGTCGGTTGACTTTAGGATACATATTATGGATATTAAATAAGGTAATCTAACGAAGGGTAGCAGGCGCTTCAAGAGTTGGACCATTTCAATTCGTTACCTAATATGAGCTCAGCCGGTTAAAATTGTCAACCGAGTATTAGCGCTAATTTTATACGCAATATTTTTAGTGACAATTTCTATAGACACTTCAATTAACGTTCATAATTTCTGAAAATTTTTGAGAGTATCTGACGTGTGACCCGCACCCGATCCTCTACTACCCATTAAAATGTGAATTTGTGAGAATATTTTCCTGTGTGTCGCAAGTTCGATTCTGAATCTATAACTCATTTGCAGCGCGCCTGCGTCGCCGCCACCCTCGCCAATGTCACGCCAAGGTGAGTGTGTGAACAATTACGAACGCAATAATCATCGCACTAAAATATAAATAAATGTTTGCCCAGCAAGCGACAACAAAAACAACTACAAGGCACATTAATGATAATAGCTACAAAATATGTAGTAATAAGCGGAACAACAACAACAACAGCAAATGGTAAGTAATAACAACGCGCACATGTGAGTGACAAGCGAGCTGTCGGTAGCAGAGGGCGCAGCGGCAGCGGCAGCAATGGCGGCAACAGCAGTCAGCAATGCGCGAAAACGGCAGAAGCGGTAGGCAAAAAACAACAAAAGCGAAAATAAAAACAAAAAAAAAAAATAATAGGCGGCAGTCACCACAATGACTTACAACAACAAAAGATAATAACAGCAGAAAATGGCAAAACAAAAGCAAAGGCGAACAATAAAAATACTAGCAGTAACGAAAATAACATGCATCCACCAGCAACAACAACAACAAGAAAGACAATAGTCGGTTGAGCCGCACAGCAGCCAGCCAGCAGTTGGCAGTCAGCAGCCATAGCCATAAAATGGTAGCAGTATCAAGTTTTATGTACTGGAGGGTAATCCATGCAGTCCCACCGTCAGCCACAGCACACCGCCGCGCGTACCACTTTCCGCGTGATAAACCACGCACTAGACGCCAGCAGCAGCAGCAGCACCAACGTCCCACCGTTGCTGCGCGCTGGCTCTCCACTTCTTCGAACGCAGCGTGGCCGGAGAAAAACACACACAGAGCGAAAACTACAGTAGAGCAGAAACGTGAGTTCAGCGGCTGACTGAGCTCTGCTACGAACCGGGATCTGGTAGATTGTCGAAGAAATGTTAAAAGATTTTATGTTTTACTATGAATTGGACCAAAGATTTCCTTTTTAGGAACTCTTCCAGTTTTTAATATGTTTCTTCAAAAATAAGGTTCAAAACTATCCCTTCTTAGGAGTGTGAAATCTTACAATCCATAAGACTTTAGATTAGATGGTAGAGGTCATTGCAATTGGTTCCAGTTGCGGCAGCGAAAGAATAGTTCGAAAAGCTTTGGAATGTGGTATAAGAATATTAAATATATCTATAAGTTTCTCTAAAGAGGAGATCACGTAATATGAGACCAAGCAAGTACTAAAGCTTCGAGAAATCCTTGCCGTAAAAAATTTTCGCTACAAAAATACTCTCGAATTTATAAAATAATACTGGCAGAGGAGTTTCCGAAAGTTCATTAGTACGTTAACCGTCAGTTATAGTCACAGTTAATGGAATAAAAGTTTTATTTGAAGTTCTGTCCGGCAGTTCTTAGAGCTCCTAAGCTTCAAGACCTTTGTTGGTGCGTTGTTAAATAGTCAATGGTAAGTTCCTTTTGGCGGAAACGTCAACTGTTTTTCCATCCGGTTCGTCTTAGTATTATGTCTGATGAAGAGTGACAAAATCAAAAAAAATATCAAAATTGGAAGTTGGGAGTCAGTGCAGACGAACTATGTTAACTTTGAAAGCACGAAGGGAAGCTTAGGGTTAATTAGGATAGGGTTGATGACATGCCCAAGATGTTAATCAAAACGAAGTAGAATAAATCTGAAATCTATCTACTAAGCTTCTTTATAAACATTTTTAAAGTCGGTGTGAGTTACATGAAGTCCGGAACGATTACGATTAGATTACGTTCGTCGGAGCAACTTCCTATGTAAGTAATTTTAAAGCACCAAAACAATACCAGAAGTATGAAAATTTCCCAGCCGGGTATATCCGATGCGAGAAATGTTGGATAGAAGCAGATAATCGGTATCCATAGAACGTAGAACACTGTTAAAAATGTCGTTTCAAAAACTATAAAAACTATAGTTTGAGGTTTTAGGAACACCGAGCTTCAGCACACTTTATCTATTTTCTAATTTCCCTCGAAGATTACTAGAAGAAGGACCTTCAAATCTAATAGGTATCAGCTACGAGCTCCAGCACACTGCATCTATTTTCCAATTTCCCTTGAAAATTTCCAGAGAGTAGGCCTTTAAATCTCATCAGAATCAGCTTCGAGCCTCAGCACAATTTATCTAATTTTAAATTTTACTCGAAGATTGCCAGAAGAAAAAGAAGAAATCTACCAGTATCAGCATACTTTATCTATTTTCCAAGTTCCCTCCACCAAATACCTCTCGAAACTCCACTGTACGCCAATGCCTAGAGATAATATCTCAAAGTTGTTTCCAGTTGCTGTTACTTTGTATCGTTTTACTCCGTCTGATCTTTTTTCGTATTTTGCTTTCCGTCTTCGTCAAATTTCAGCGTTCAGGTTTTGTTTTTCCGCTTGCTTTTCCAGCATTTAGTGAATATATGAGAGTGTGTCGACCATTTTTTTACGCTCACAATTCGTTATACTAAATTCTTCAGGTTTTCAAAGCCGTTTCAACGTTGCTAACGTTGCGTCTATGCGGTCAGAAGCGGCAAACGAACACCAAGACTAACTGACACACTGACAAATGAAGAAAACGGCGAACTAACAGACAGAGGAAAAAGCGCCGACAAACGCTAAAGGAGTGTGACAGTTAGACGCTTGGACACAATGTCAAAACGACAAACGAGCGGACGACGAGCGTGAACGCAACAACAATTCTCCATATCCGCACTAACGCGCTAAAGAAAACCCGTTTCTCTCACTAGCCGAACTGAGCTCGCTCACAGCGCACTCACCAGCACGCACAGCCCGTCGAACAGGTAAGTAACAGGTAAATTACCGATTGGAACAGTGGCGCTCAACACAACGTAGCGAATACGTGCGCATCGAATATGCCGCTGCGCCGCGCCGACAAGTTGGCCTGTGCGCTCACATCAAATTTAATGAAAACAAACAAAACAGCAGGGAAAACCAGTAGATAACAACAACAAAACAAAAGCCATATCGCTTGTACTCATTACTCTCCCAGTAGTACGTCTAGTGGCAGTCGGCAGTGGCAACAGCGGCACCACCACAGTAGTCAAGTCAACGCAGTCAATCGGTGGCTCAGTGGCTCGTTGGCTCTTTTGTATAACGTTGCAACTGGTTTTTGGCTAACTTGGTGGCTGACGCTTGTACGACACGTCGGTGGCGCTCTGAGCGTATAGCATAGAGCGACAGTCAATGAGGATCACAGGTGTTTGTGAGCATTACGCCGGTGTGTTGCAGTGAGTTAGTGGCCCATACTCTCAACCTCTCTCTCACTCTCTGTAGCAGCTTATTGGGCGCTCGTTTTCGAATTGGCTGCAGCAGAAGGTTTTTAGGCTCGTTGCCCCCAACGGTGCCACTCTCGATTTAGTCTTGAGAAGTTGATCGTACCAAACACACCTGTAGACAGACGTAACGGTCGAAACGTAGTGAGCAAACCATACGGACGGTTTGGGTTTTGCTCTGTTTTTATTGTTGTTGTTTTTTTTTCGCTTATGTGCTACGCTCGTTTTTCCAATCGTGTTTGGCGGTTTGTTCATTGCCTCTGCAACAACGACAAATTCAACACGTTCACCAATACATAAAAGTGTCGTGTACAACAACAACAACTATAACTAATATACTGTGTATGTGTAAGAAATGAATAAATAAATAATAAAGGAGTATATACCATACATAAGCAATAAGCAAGAGAAGATTAAAGTGCGCAGTAGCAGTGGCGACGAGCATTCGTTTCGTCGGTAGCGGTCTAGTGGTGAGAAAAGGCACCAAACTCTGGGCAAGGTTGCCTAAGCAGGCGGGCGGGCGGTCTTACAGAAGGTGGCTAGCTCGTAGCGAGCTATGACGTGCGTCTCCAAGGGATCGTGGTGGGATTTAAAGCGTTTGTTGTGCAGTCAGTCGCTGTTGTTTTTGTAATTTGCGACTTTATGCATGCCGTTGTTGTTGCGCGCGTGTCTTATTTGAACTTGCAGCGTAGCGTTTCAGTAGCTCATGCGAGAGTTTACTCTCTTCACATTCATGCAGTCTTCGGACTTTGAATCTCGCGCTCCAAACGCCTGCAGCGACTCGCTCACTCACTCATCAACGTCTGGGCCGTAGAGTTTCCATTCACCACAACCCGTTTTCTAGCATCCGAGTGTCGAATGCTCTGGCGTATGGAAAAAGGTGATATCTACAGATAGCCACACATACAGTTAGAAATTTGATCTGTACGTATGTGTGTATCGCGTTCGACGTTCGCCTGAGCTTAGAAGGCATATCTTTACGGTGTCTATACTGTCAGAGCGCTATCTATCTTGCTATACATATACACATATATAGCAGTATGTGTGCGTATATGCTTCGTCGTGTACATATGTATATGTGTATATGCATGTGTTTTATGCGATCACAGCGCGATTTCGACAATTTTCTAGCATCGCTCAGCGTTTCACGTTAACCGCGTCGTCACCGTCACCCTCTTTGTCGTCGTCGTCGTTATCGTCGTCTTGGGCCGTAGTCGGTCGTGTGGGTAGAGATTGGGACTACTTGAGGAGCGATTTGGTAGCTGCACTGGCTTCAGCTCCTATTTCAAAACAGAATGTAGGAAAACACATTTCAACTGCTGTTTGGCCAGCACCACCAAGCGAGTTGGAGTTTTGGCTTACAACGTAACTTGTTGTTGTTGTTCTTGTAGTTACTGTTGCTTTTTCGATTTTGGTTGTTTTTGTTCAACTTTTGCTTTATTGTTTTATTATGCTGTTACCAGAGGGTGTATGTATGTATTTGAGAGTATTGATGTACAAATAAACATACACATGCATACATACAAATGACTAGGCAACAGGGCGTCACAATGGGCCATGATAGACGATTGAATAGAGATAGGTTTATGGGCGTTCACGCAGTTGTAGCCATGGAAGGGGTAAGATAATGACTTGTAGTTAGGAAATGAATGCACATGCACGTGTATGTGTTTATGTATGTATGTATGTGTGCGTTTAGGTGCGTGTGTATGTGTGTAGAGTAGCTGATGCAACTGCTGGAGTTTACTGAGGCGACATACATACATGCATACTGGTGTGTTAGATTATTGGTGGTTAGAAGTGGTGAAAAGGGTTGCGGAGCGTGGGGGAGTTAGAAAATTCCTTAGCAATGGGAATAATGTGTAAAAAGAAAGCCGCAGTGAAATGAAAAATATCGTTTAAACGTCGCGTGTAACATACGTATGTATGTATGTGTATGGTTGCACTGAACAGTGAGCAATTATAAAGTCTGGAATGCTCATATTTCAAAATAAAAATATTAAAAAAACTTGTGAAATTAAAAAAAGAAATGTAGCACTGGCACTTCCAGAGTAATGAAAAAAAATTATAGAATTAAAATT